GAGACCAAAACTTGCCCAGAAAGCAAATCTGGAAACGTGTGCTTCCAACTACATGAATATTGAGTCCTATCATAAAATGCTTTACAAATAGGCAAATGATTATTAAAATACCCCTTTTGCAGATAGGAAGCGTGTGTGTGTAYACATGTGTGCATGTGGAGAGGGCTTCTGTTGTTTTGTGACTCCTGTCTCTTACGTTCCAAGCTCCTGTCACACTAACCCTCCTACAGAYAYGTCCTGAAGCTCCGAAGGAAGGAGAAAGGCAGGAAAACGACACTGGACCCTTGCAAAATGCACATCCCCAAATCACGCTGCCTGTCCACCACACAAAGCACATGGGCGTGCGCAAACAYGCTGAAACGCCAGGACAGAGTGATGCTGGCAGCTCGATTCTCCTCTCACGAGCACTTCCCTAAGTCTGAAGTAACTTAGCGGAGGCTGAAGAAGYGAAGCCAGGGTGCGAGGTGCCTGGGTCACCGCATGTGTGTGACCCCAGCTGAGCGAGCGGCCCGCGTGCCGAGGCRGGCAGAGCGCCCCGCACGCGTCCCGCAGCAGCCCAGGCCCGGGCGCTCCGAATGCGGAGCGCTGCGCGGTGGCGGCCTTGCCAGCCCAGCAACTTCCAGCCCATCCTGCCCAACTCCGGCTGCCCGGGTCCAGCCCCGGCTGCACTTCTCAGCTGAGSTGTTCTGCCAGGGCAGAAACAGCTAAAAACGACAGTAACAAAAGTAACTGCATTAAGAGACACCCAAGGAAGATGACCAGGGCAAGTTTCCCCTTGCACGGGTTGTTCTCCCCATCTATAAACCCACTGAGGCACATCCGCCTCAGAGAGATTTTGATGCTTCTTGTTATAATGCCTAGGACAGTTTCTGTTTAATCTTTTAACTAAGACTTACATAAATATGAAGCAGGTGAGCCCCTGGTAATTATGAAATGAAACACTGGGACATATTATATTCACTTATATTCTCTTTCTCCCTCTACCCCTTTATTTCTATTTGGTACTTCTGGGTATCAAGTTCAGACACATCCATTGCCTTTTAATTCATTATTTATCTATACAGTCTCAAATTTTGTCACTTTGACAATAACATACACAAATCCACAGTGGGAGCTTGCACAGTTAGACRTGGCATGAGTAAGCGCAGAAATTAGAGAATGTTTCTTTGCCACAGCAGGGTGAGGAGAGGCAAAGAACAGAAAAGGTGTAAGATAACATAATAGGATAAAAATACAGCAAATTAAATGTGTGGGTTTGGAATCCCCCAAGACATCGCCTTCCATTCTGGTCGAGAGGATCTCAAATTTATATATATAGCTCAGGCTGAAAGCRCAGTATTACAATCGCTTTCCTAGTATTCACAAACGGCTCGCCTGCCAGCGACGGGGTTTTGTCCTTTTGCTAAAGTTAGCAGATACAGAGAACGTGCAAATGGTGTTCGCAGGGATCACAGGGAGGTCCCCAGCAGGCATCGCCCGCGACCTAACAGTTCTTACACGGGGAAACCACAGAAAGGGGGTGGGCGGGTGGGTACCGCAGGCACTCGCGTGCCGGGAGCTCGCGGCGGTTTCGGGGAGCTCGGGGCTCCCGGCGCAGCCGCCAGCGCCCCGGTCCGCGCCGCGCTCAGCCCCGTCCCGGCTCTGCCGCTGGCCGGGCAGCCCCGCACACGCGCGAGGCGCCCTCTCCCCGCGGCGGCGCCCACGCGGGGCCGTGCCCG